TGAGCCGGCAGCGTAACTATGAGCTATAATAATTATACGGAGCACATGGGAGCCTTCGTAATCCTATGCATCGTATCACTATAGGTCTATTCATAATTATAAATTCTTCCTACGAGCAATGATGCGTTGGACCGGCCTGCATATTTAACATCAAGCCGCAGCAGTGAACTGTAACATGGGGAGTGAGTTCTGCTCATGACTGCCTGAGCAAACAAGTTAAAAACCTGAAGCAGGAGAAGTATGCAAAGACAGTGATGTAATAGTTCACACCACAAACAAGTAGATTCAGCAAAAAAGGAGGGAAAAAATATGTTGATATTTCCCATATATTTAAAATAAATGCCTTTGGATCCAGATCAATCAGTTATTTACCCAACCCCTTGTCAGCAAGGCCCCTTCCAGGAATTCCTCCATATCAATGTTGTGAAGCAGAGAAATAAAGTGAAGCCTGAGCGTGATGAGGGTTCCAGGCTGCACTCAGGTCAGGTGGCTAAGCTGTGCTGTGAAACTCAAATGGCCCATGACTTGCCACACAAGAAGGTATGCGAAGACTGATCATCTACTGCATGTGGAACAATATTTGCTTTATGGATGGCTAAAATGAATGAGGACTTTCCATGTTTCGACAGGCCAGAGAGTTAAGAGAGATGAGTGTAGGGACCAAAGCTGGGTCAGCTGTTGATACAATTAAATCTTAGCATTTAATATGGTACCAGATTGTGACTGTTGCATTGCTCTGTTTTTAAAGACCTCCTATCAGCCACCAAGCGGGTCTTAAACAAACCCTAGAAAGTATTTCTTGATCACTGCTGGACACATGTCATCGTCTGCAGCTGTGATTTGACACTGAGTTGTGAACTAAAGGGTAATTCAGCTGTAACTCTCCATTCATCCCTCCGTATCCTTTTAACCTGCATTTCTATTTCCCATCTTTTCCAGACTTGCAGAGAGATAGTGCGGTTACTGAGACAATTTGATACGCATGTCTGTTCTGACCCTTTACCTTTAACAAAATGTGAAGAGACAGGAAACACTGGATTTGGTGTAAACTGTAAACATTCCAGATCTTTACAGAACCATTCAAGACATGCCTAGGTCTTTATATTGTATATATAATGTTTTACAGTTTTAAACCTGTGGTCGCGCTACCCACAGTGCAAAACAGACACTGCTGACGTGTTCATCCCCTCTATCTGGGGAGGGTGCCGGGGTAAGAGCACTGGGCTTTTGTCCCACCACATGTCTATTGTGGCTAAACCTTTCCCTTGAGGGCAATTAGGACCTTTTAGTTTGTTGTAAGAGGACCTAAGTACGAGTGGGTTGAGCCAGGAAAAACATTTGAGCTAAACCAAAAACAGAAGCGCATTGAGCTCCTCTGCGCTCCTGGACTTCTGAGCATCTCTCTATTAAGAAATGTGCAGGCCTGCACTGAACAGACAGGAACTGTGGCAGCTTTACGGGGCAGGGAGGTGACGGGGGTGAGAGAGCTGGGGAGGGGGGGGGCTTCAACCGAGGCCTTGCCAAGATGGCAAACAACTCAAGACCAACAATATTGGTGGCAAGGACATGCTCCACAAAAAAACCAAGAGTAAGGGGAGATTCATGTTTCGTCTTAACTTTCACATGGCTGAATGGAAACTGGGGAGAGTGAAGTGCGAGGGGTAAAAGGTATGCAGTGAGATCTGCCGTAGCGTGCAGAAAGCAAACACGCATGTTGTTTAACACAACAGAGAGTCTGAGCCAATGAAAAGACATTACTGTAAGCAAAGGCAGCTACAGCAGAAGTGTTAGTCTACACACGTGAGAGATAAGAGCTAAGGGTAGGCCTAAGTATGTGATTGAAAGAGTTCATGTTTGCACAGGGATGTAAATGAGTGTGCATGGTTGAGAGATGACGCAAGATATGGACTTAGAGGAGGAAGAAAGGGCAAAAAGGAATAGAGCAGAAGAGAAAGGCAGGTAAGACGTAATTGAGTTTCCAAGTTCTCTTCATGCGGGGACCTTATCTTCCTGCAGAGGGGAACGTTTCCCATGGCAGGCCTGAGTGGATCAGCAGTGAACAGTGTTAGAACCTCTGAGCAAAAAGCCATGAGTGATGAGGAGGGGTTAAGAGAACTGAACCCATTTAAGTCACCCAAATAAGGGCTGTACAAGCCCATGATGGATGCTCTGGAGTTCCTGAGGGAGAGAGCGCTAGCAATGGGAAGGGTGATGGGTGAGGAGCGAGCAGGGGTCCTGCGATCCCCACTTAATAAAAACAAATTGGTTTGATAAACGACACAGGCTTAATGTCTAAAAATGAAATGTGTGCACTGATTTTCAAACTGTAATATAAGCCATTTTAAAAGGCTGACATGATATCACTGGTATGAGTTACACTGAACATTACAGACAAACATCTTAAAACCCACTTCTCTAAGTTGACTTTTCTATACTTTCTATATTAATATTGTATTCGTTCAAGGGTTGATTGTTTCTGTATGCTGTCTTTGTTAGTAAGTGCGTTGCGTTTGTATGAATTGTTCGAGCTTATCGTTTTTTATAATGCACTTTGTAACCCGTGTTAAAAAAGTTGCAATGATATAATAGTTTTTACTAAATTGTTTACAGAAAGATGCAAAATATGAATTAGGACTGCTAACAATACACCATGTTGTTTTCATATCAGACAATCTCTGGTCTTAAAGGCAAACAGTCACAGGCCGAATCCAGCTGTTGTTAAGCAAAGAGCAACAGAATTTATCGTTTGGAGCCCATTCAAAACTTACAGCACTTATAAGTCGACTAAAAATGAAACATTGGAGTAGATGACTTCCCTATAGGCCAACATATCTCTTGAGAAGATCCTGTGTTACACTGCGCTGTAATAAACAGTTATAGTATGTTTAGACAGACCAAGAGCTTAGCATTCTACCATTACTCGTGTGTTCCCAGAAAGTGTGTCGCTCTACCTAAGTGTATGCACCTCTGTGAGTGTCTGTGTACGTGTGTGTGCATGCAGTTGAATAAATAATTGTGTGCTTGCATGTGTGTGCCCTCAATAAAACATTTCATTGGCTTCCTCTCTGAATTGTTACAAGTGGTACCATTATTTAACACAAGGCTCTGGGCAGCATATGGGGTTGCAGCATACTGACGCTTAACAAGCACACTTAACCCCAACCGGCCATGCTAAGCCGAAGAAAGGGAAGGTTGTTCCCCAGAAGTGACATGGCACAGGAGGGCAGTCAGGCCAAGGTGAGGAGAGGAGGGGACAGCATCATTAATGAACCAGTCCATAGGCTCAATTACCGTACACTGGGTAAAGAAGACAGTGTTAAAACCAAACGGCAGGCACAGGGTAATTCAGGAAACTAGACGTATACAGTAGCACATGATCTCTTAATAAACCAAACAGGGTCACATTTGATTTGTAGCCCCCATGTTGACTTATCTTAGGACTTTTATTACATTGGCTGCATATCTATAACTCTTTCTGCTCTAACCAGCAACTAAATTAAGTACCACTACACAGAAGTGACTTCTACAGCCTGTGTTCACCTAAAGTTTATCTAAGTGAAAACACTAAAAATCTCCCCAAAGACGAGCCCTCACAGAGTCATAAATCTGTAGTGTTTTTAAAAGCCCCTTGTTATGTCTGTACGTCTATTTCTGTTGTCACAAACATGATGCCTTACTCAGTCCAACATCATGGGAACCATTCAAAAGTCATCTCAACTCCGCTCTCAAAAGAATGCTCTGTATTTATATGTTCAGCTTATTGTTTGTGTGTGCCAAGTATCCTTTTTGGAGAAAGAACAAAAATGCTACAATACTAAAAAAAAGGCAAGAGAAAAAACTACGATGGGGTGTGGAGACGAAAAGTAAAACAAAAATGTAGGTGTGGACACTTTTAGCTAGATAGCCAGACTAACTCTTCAAGCTCACTGAAAAGTCCATGGGAAGGTTCAGGGATTCATAAAGTCTCGCAAGGTAATTGATTGCTCCTAGCGGGGCAATCTGTGTGGGATTTTGTTTTTCTTTTTTTCAGTCTGTAGGAACAAAAAAAACACACATGGGCCGTTCTCAGCAATAGAGCCATTAGGGGGAGAGTGACTGTGGGAGTGTGGGGGTGAGGAGCCTGACAGCAGGATGAACACTACTTAAATATTACAGTACACACACTCATCCATACACCCAAAACCTAGCCTAAATACAGAGGCGCCCACCGTTAAAGCCGGGGCATTAGGAGATGCAACGGATGCGAGGACAAGAGAATCTTCTCGAGACAGGCGAATTAGACCGCGACCTTTGCTCCCCGCTGAGTAACATTAGCGAGAGCTTCCTGTGTGCAGGCACCACTCTGTTGACCGTTCATCATTGCCCGGGAAGGTGGACAGTCACCATTACACACACACACACTGACGCCTCACTTTACAATAACACGGCGGCAGCCATGACTCCACATCTGTCAAGGGGATGTTTAAAAAGAGTCATCATTATTACTCTTTATTCTGGAGGTGGGTGCAGGCTGATAGGAGGAGAGCCGTCTGGTTAACGTCCAGTTCCTCTCCTTAACCAACGACCTGGGACAGGAGCGCAGACTCAGGGGGGTACCAGACGGGTACTGACTGGGAGGGGGCGGGGCGGGGCGGGGACCACAGATAAGCGGTGCCCTAGGTCCGTTGGCCCGGGGATCTTAAATCATAGTCAGTCTCTCCCCTAAGTTCACAAACATCAGCATTCCCATCGCTCCAGAACCTGACTCGCTTATCACAGCGATCAGTTATCTGGTGCTCTAACAAACACGTCTGCTACCATCTCACACTCACTCCTCCACACACAAACACAGACACGCAGAATGAAAAATGTGTCAGGGTGAAATGAAGAGTGAAAAACTCTCTAATCATTTACATTTTTGCAAAAAATATAGCAAGTTCCAAACTCAGACAGACACACTTTTCTTTAAAGTTGACTGTAATTCTTCATCCCTGCTGAAAAAAAACAAGTCTTATTCTCACCTTTGTTCCCAATCAGGGAGACCACCGGCTGGATGTCATTTTCCTCGTTGGCCTTCTTCACCAAGCTGAACCAATCCTCCAGATTCTCAAAGCTCTGGTAGTTGGTGATATCGTAAACCAGGAGAACCCCCTGCATTGGAAAAACATAAAGAAACAACCTGTGAGTACAGACTGAGTACACATCATATTTGATTTTGATTTATATTGACTTGAGTATTACTAAGGGAGCAAGGGAACAGCAGATGGCACTGCTCCTCTACTGAGAGTCGGGGACACACTCACTCTCACACACCTCATCTGAGGGTCACTAGGATTATAATTCAGGTAAGACTCTGCGGGACGGTTTTTAAATGAAAGCTGTGTTCCCAGTTTTGTTAGCATTACATTCAGTCAAGAATTTAGTGCAGAATAAAGGTGAGGTTTGGTTATCTGCTATGTGATAATGAATGCACGCTGTCTGACTAAAGGCGTTCTCCTCCTCCCTCTGTAATCCTCTACACTGTAGGCACTGCAGAAACACGCATGCAACAACACCAGAGCCATGTTTGAGCAAACACACGGACACTTCAATGAATCAAAGAGTAAACACAGACACGAGAGCTGCTGGTGTAAATCAAGACAAATAATCAGGTAGTTGAACTTTCTGCTATCGCTGCTGAAATTGTTGCAATGTCTAAAAAGGGCTGGTAATTAAAAACCTGAGCCGCGGTAAATGTCTCCACTTTTACTGCATGATGCAACACGACTGAAGCGTTGTCTGTTGCTTTTTGTTCGTCAGACACGCACTGTCACAACACGCGAGGTTGGTGACGACAGCTCAGCCCTCTGACAATTACTGAAAGTCTTTCCGAAACAGCCATGATTGATTACAGGACGCACAGTGCTGAACAAAAGGTGTGAACGTTCCATACCGCGCTAACGAGGAAAGTGGCGTAATGTGATGGGCGACATTTTGCTTTTGAATGAGATAGACAGTAACGCACAAAATAAAATAACTCACCACATGATGATCCTGGCCGAAATAAATTCAGTTCACAATATAGTCAACATAATCATCCAGCTATTGTTACAACTCATTACACTTAAACAGACCTTGTATATTCTTAGGAAACAACTATTGCATGACAGATAGGACAACTATCTTAAATATGGTCAAAGGTCCCTGTCCATAAATAAAAAAATGTTAGAAGCGACATTGTTCTTTCATACAATAAATGTATTTTGTATTTGATATTTTTATAACGAGCTAGAATATTTTTTCAAGTCACTCGTGATGATATTTACAATAGTAATAATGTCATTTACCCCATAAGGGAAATTCTACACAACCAACTTATTGTGAGTTTTTTTTTTTACTCGATCGGCTATAAAATCCTATATTGTCCTTTCCTTAAAAGGAAGTGCTGCAGACATGGTTAATATACTGTACACTGCACAGTATTATTGCACAATTTAGAGCAAAAAAAACATGTCACTTTCACTATTTTAATGCCAAGTAGATTCATGGAATGGAAAAGAACCTCCAACTAATGTTTGTCTAGCTTCTATGGACAAACATGACAGAAGTGTGCTTGCAGCTGCTATATGGTGAAAAGTTTCCTGCCTGTGCCCGAATGTGAGGTCTAATGCTGAAGCACGGGTCTCAGATTCGACAAACTGCGTCCTTTAAGTAGTCCTCTTCAAACAAGAGACATCCTGGAGGTGACAGATAGCACTCGTCTGTAGCAACACGGCTACCTGATGTTGCTGACACGGGTACAAAATAGTACGCAATGACACAAATTACAGTGTTTGCAGAAAGCTCAGCTGTCATTCTTTGAAAACATATTACGTTTTCCATAGGAGAATCATTACATGAGAGTGAGGGATACATTTTAAGTATATTTTCCATAGACTCACAAATGAAATGACTAATATCGAAAACTGGGCAATACTTCGAACGATTTCAGTTTAAAAGTTCAATTCATTCTAATTTTGGAGTAGTTCAAGCATACTAGAAATGTTGTTTTTTGAAAATGCTTACTATAAACCTACCGTGTGCAGTATGATTAACATTTGTTTAGTCTGACACAAAACCTCAAACTAGGGCTGCTCGATTATTTGTGTCAATAATTGCTATCACGATTATTAAAAAACGATTATCCATTTACTTTGAAAACATCAATTTATTGGAGAAAACTTTTTTGAACAGTATGTTTTCAACAGTTGATTACCCTGAACTTTAAGTATAACTCAACTGAAAAACCAATTAAAAAAAAGAATTCATAAAAAGAAAAAATTGTTATATTTCGATTACGTTGTTTTCGTAATCGTTGCAAGCAATAATCGTAATTGCGATTAATTGAGCAGCCCTACCTCAAACTGTAAAAAAAAGTCAATGGAAATTAGCGATGCAGAGATTTTAAAAAGGTCTATTGGCCTGTTAAGCTCACTGAGAATCCAAAATGACAGTTTATTATGATTTGGCTGCAGAGGGAGGGAGTGGCTGTACTAATAAGCACGAACAGTCACCAATACAGGACGAATAGGGAATAAGAAATGTATTCTTCTTAAACCGTGATCCGAGCATTCTTCACAAAGAGCGTTCATTTTAGAGGAATCCGATTCTGAAGTTCAGAGAGCGTGCGTGTGTGCGTGTCATCTTACATGAGCTCCGTATACATATTTATCCAGCATTTTTCCTCCTATCGTTTGGCCTCCGATATCCCACACCTGCAGGGTCACGTTTAAGTTTCCTACAGGAGAAAAGACCAAACACTTAAAATATCAAAAAGACCTCATAATGCAATGACTAAATATTAAACCAGCTCTATAAAGAAGGTGTCAAAATCCCCAATGTCGTGTTTGAAAATGCTCTTTTCCAATAATGATTAAAAAGATTTAACAAAACAAGAAATAATGCTGCAATTTCTCAGTTTCCATTCATTTCTCGTACTTTGTATTCATTAACATGTTATTTGAACAAAGCTCGTAATCCTGAAGAAATGAAGAGTCAGCAGTTACTGGAATTGCGGCGAGCGATTTTCTATAATAAAAGTCCACATTGTTGATATACATAATGGAAACAATAAATCATCGATTAATATTTCATGCTAAGCGCTTTTGCCTGGCAGGTCACCCACACCTCACATCCAAGAATATCCAGCCCATAGATTGAGGGGGAGGAATAGGTGCGCTTACCCTCTAATTTAAACACGCTCAATACACAGGCAGAAAAAAGAGTGACTTCTTGTTAGCCTGGGAAGAGCTGTTTGCATTGTGCCATGTCCTGCCAGGTTAGGAAAGTGAAGAGAATGATGTGCTGTTAAGGAAAATAGCAATAATTAACACAAAACGAGAGGAAAAGGAGACTGTTGTCCCTACGCCTGTGGAAAGAGAAAAAAGGAGAGAGAGAGAGGAAGACGGGCACAAAAACCAAAACCAAATAAATATTTTCTTCCTCTGGAAAATGAAAGGAGTGGTTGAAAAAAAAAAAAAGATGTAAAAAAAAGAGGGTGGACCAGACAGCGGGGAGTTTATGTTGGTGTGATGGGGAGCTGTGGACACGGCTGGACGACTCACCCCTTCATGAGACCCCCTTTTTAAAGCGAAGGAAGGAAACGCTGAGGTTCACAGTCACTACATCTAGACTATACAGTGTCAATGTAAAGCTACATTGAGGAGTGCGATGCATAACGGCTCCTTGGTGTTTGTAGAGAGCCATCCCCACCCGTCCGTCCTCCAGGCCTGGACACTGGCTTTATTTATGTTTCGGAGATTCACGCTGACTCCACAGTGCTGACATTTTTCTGCTTATGCTTTGCACTTTTGGACTTAAATGTCATATTTATTTTTAAAGTGATTGTTTTTACTTTGTTTTCATTTATTTTTAAATGATCTCCCAGTCACAATGTGATTCAAAGTGTTTTTATTCAGTAAAAGTTGAGTTTTCGTGTCTCGATTACTGGACCAAATGTCCCTATTTCCAGAAACTGCAACTGTGGAACCAAGCGATGAACCTTAAAACTGATAACAAGGTTAATGGGTAAAAAAAACACATGTTGACAATGAATTGACCTCTTAATGTGACGTGAAATGGACACAGACAAAGCAGCGCCAGAGAGTTTGAGGATTTCTAAAGTAAACTTCACCTCAAGTCAATCCCCTTCACCGCCTGTACCTCACTGGTTTGGCAGAGACATCTGGAAGAGGTATTGTTATAAAAGCACACACAGAGGAGGCTGTTGTGTGCCAGTCGGCCTCACCTCACCTCTCCCCGCGTTGGAAAATGTACATTAAGTTTGACAAGCTGGGCCTTCATGGTGAGAGGGGCCAACCCTGGCTAAAGGCTACTCTCCCCCCTGCTGGAAAAGACCCTTACAGCCCCATAGAGACCCGGAGAGCCACACAACCTCTCCGATACAAGGCAGGGTGGGGGTCCTAACGAACGTTTGGGACCACCCAGCTCGCAGAGCCACCCTCCTCTTCATCAGCTCATCAACACCCAATTCCCCAGAAAATGGGCCATTTAACAACTCCGCTGTTGGACCCAGTGTTGTTGCTGCCCCGGTGATACGTGCGCTATATTTGAACAAAGGTTACAGTTCAGCACTGCCAGTAGAGCCCTTTCAGGAAAGAAACTGACTGGAAAGAGAAGTCAAACGATTAACAGCATTTGTTGGAGTTTGCATTAAGACGTTTGGGCCCGGTCTGTGCTTATGGTTGGCTCTTTTCATCCACCACAACATTTTTGGGGGTTTAGTTCTCCTAAGTCTCATAAGCTGAAACTGACACAAAATCAAAATACAATCCTTCAGCCAACTCACAAATCAGCATAACTTTTACTTTTAGCACTTAATTTGCCCTTGCTTAATGTTGTTTTATTAGTAATGAAAGAATGGAGGCACTTTGCAGATTTCTGCAGCTTAGGGCCTTGGCAGAGTTTTACAAAATGCCATTTCAAAATGCTGAAAATCCCCATTTCACATGGTAGGAAGTGAAAATTGAGTGCTTTCGTCTAAATATAGCATTAGTCAATAAACATTTATTTTACAGATCTAAGGGGGGCACAGAGTGTGGCTTTATTTCTGCGGGTTCAACATAAACAAATAGGAACATGAATGTTTTATGTGGTGCAGGACAAAGATGGGTTGAACTTGGGGATCAGTGATATGGATATAAAATGTTAATATATTTACTCTGTACGGTGCCACGGAATTATGAGCAAGGCTTGCCCTTTTGGACATAAGCTGTACATTGGCCTTGTGGAGTTTTTAAAAAAAAAAGGTGTGCTGTTTGCTCTGGAGAGAAGAGCTTTCAGAGCCAATAAGCCTGAGAAGTGGCAGACACTCTACAATGAGGAGCTACCAGAAAAGACACATTCAAGAGTTAACCTGAAGAACAAACTCTGCCTTGAAATGGTCGGACAAGAAAATATGTACAGCGCCAGAAAATATGAGAAATTAAAATATGACAGAAAGTGATGTTGGAACAACAGGCCTCTTTGTCCGACTTTGAATTAATATTCTGGACTGGTACTTTCTGACTTTGTAAAGTACACACAAACATCGAAAACCTTGACATAATGTATATTTTACAGTATTACAAACCAAAACATTAAAGTCCGTCTGTCTAAGTAGATACTTACCAAGGACATAAATCCTCAGTATTTTATTGAATGAACAAGTCTGCCACTACGTGCTCGTGCAACACGCGTGTCTGTGCTGAGTCTGCGAACAGGCGAGCGCTCCCAACAGATTATGAAGGTGTCTCACCTGGAAGGCTTATTCTTTTCAGAAAGAAATCCAGGCCGATGGTTTGTTTGTACTGCTTCCCAAAAGCCTCCTGTGCAAACCTGGTGGCGAGTGATGTCTGAAACAGAGAGACAAAGTGAGAGACATGGTTAAAGTGCACCAATCTTAAATCCTCAGCGATCAACAGGAAAAGAATTAAGTCATTTACAGGAGTTAAGTGTTTTTAAAAGAAAAGACCTCAATCCAGTGCTTAGTATTTGGTTAACAAAAAGTATTCACACGTATACGCACAAAATAAAAACCAAAGCAAAATGGAAGCATAGCCTGCAGCAGATACTGCCTTCCAGAGAAAATATACAGTATATTAAAAGACTTCCTGAAAAAGTGATACTTTCGGTGGTGAGCAAAAGTACAAAAGCGTTGATAGAACTCAAACTGAGCTAACGCCAAAGAAAGCTTTTCACAATATTTCTAAAAATACAATTTATCACATGACAACACTTGTGTGCAGCCATAATTCGTATGCGTTGCAGACTTTAAGGATGACCTGTAGGACATTCATTTAATTATTACAAATCCATTCTGGGCACCTTCAAAACCGTTGTTATTGATTGAAAGGTACGCTGATGTAATTGTCTGCCTCCTCCCCCCCCGTCTCGCTCCCCAGCCACGGTTGTGACAGTGAAATCAACGTGAATTACAAAAACAGGTGCCGGGGTATGTCATGTCTACAGACTGCAGACCTAATAATTGCCACAAATTATAAAGCGTCCATCACTGTCACTGTTGTGTTTGAGGAGGGGGGGGAAAAAGCATGTTAGGGTCTCTCCTGAAATCCATGGGAATTCATAGCACAGGCTTGACATGCCAAGTTTAATTCATTTTGATGGATGAGGATAGGGAAAAAAATGAAGTGCTGAATGTCTATTAGCTATCTTTAGAGCAGTATGCTTACATAAACACAACAGAGAAGTGAAGCAATGGGATTCCCTGAGTGTTCATGTGGCAGCAAATGCATTTTAATGTGGTACTTGCCACTCACTGAGTGTTAGAGGATCTCAAACTAAATTCTTTCTTTCAATCCAGTAAACCTTCACTTGAGCCAATATCTTATCTACCTCCATTTAGGCAAAGGTAGTTTAAGTTTAGCCAAACAAAGTTTCAAATAAAACTTTAGGGCGGACACAGGCTAATTTATGAAGGAAAAACCTGTATCATGGTTTACCCATATCTTCTTCAAGTACATAATAGTATCTTTGGCTTCCTTAGGATACTTTGTCATTGTGGGGGTCAACTTTATTACTAAAGCTTTACGTTTATGCCAGCTTGGAATTAAACCTACGAAATGTTTAATGTTGGACTTTACCAGCAGCTTTTTTGCAGTTTTATCCATCTAATTCTTTTAAAAGTTCACTGACCTACAGACTTGATTTAATCTCAGCATTTCAAGCCTGTCACATGCTCAAGAGTGACTGAAAAATTAATAAAGGTGACTGGCGCAACAAGGAGAAAATCGGCCATTTAAGTAGCCCAAACGATCATTGGCAACACAGGAATAACAAGCTCGGACAGCAAAAATGTATTCCACATGCTCGCGTTGGCCTAGTGGGCCATTTGTCTTGGCATTCCAGTAGCTTGGCTCTCCTCCCTCAGCGTAGTCCTTTTTTTCCAACGTACAATTGGAACTAACCAGCAAATGTAAAAGCTGGCGTAATCCTGACACTCCAACAGAGAACAGCACAGGGTCACCAATGATACCAATGCCGGGAAATGGGGGAAGTTATACTGAAACAAGAAACTACGAGGGAAAAAAATATGGCATGCTGACCATTTCCATGTGATGCAACTCAAGATGCGGTGCATTTTTGCAACATTGCAATCAGCTTTCTCTAGATTGTCTACAGTGAAGACTGATATAAATGTTGGTATATTGCTGACAAGTTAGACTACACTTGCTCTGAAGCAGCATCCGTTAATGTACAGGACCTGCACCTAAAGAGCCTTTTTAAAGAGCAAATATTCAGAAAACTCAGTGACTTCTAACAAAATAGACCTGTGTGTAAGTTCCCCGCAGCACCTTACGAGCCTGGCTAAATGTGCAACTCCACATTTAAAAAACATCTTGCTCAGGTGGACAAGCCTTCCCACATCTCCCTATATTTCTGAATGGACAACTAACCACAAGCAAAAATACCACCGAAACTGCTGTCCAAGAAAAACTGATCCGATTGCAATTTGCTCAGCAAATTGACATTAATAAGGGGGGAAACGGCATTCAAGATGTCAGTCAGTGGTGCCTACTCAAAATGGGGGGCAGGGCTCCTGTTTTCTGCCCAAAACAGACAAGCAGGTAAGTCATTCAGACAGTGACGAGCTGACACCTGGCAGCAGTGTGAGGAGGGTTATTAATGTAGCGTATCTACTGGGAACTGAGTTGTGTGTGTTCTCTTCACCCCCCCCTCCCCCAAAAGAAAATGTCGACTCTCCAGAATGAGAACATTCATTTTTCTCATTGGGTCTCACTATTACTGCTACATTCATTTTCTTTCTCCCAAAGGAAGGAGAGATTAGTAACGAAAGGGGATGTGTAGTTGAAAGCACTTGACGTCCCTGCCTTACATTCACACTCATTCATTCGAGGATTTGAAATGCAGTGAAGAAGAACCATATAGCTAAATTGTCATGACAACCTCCTTGCTTTGCTGCAAATGATTGTTTGGTGTGAGTAGGAAAATATTGCACTGTTGTGGAGGTAACTTAGGTTTATTTAATCTACATCATTATCACACTCAGGATCCAGTCCAGTAGTTCTGAAAGGGAAGAGCAGTCATAAAGCCCGTGTAGATTTAGCAAAGAGAAAAAAAGCACTAAAGGCCTATATTTGTTCAAAGTTCAGACAGTCATAAAACTCAGTCTTCACACATGACACTTTGTTATTTTTAATCTATCAAATGAGAAAACAGAAACATTTCTCATATGGGCTGTCCAGACATAATTTTCTTAAATGGGGCCTCACTCTGGAGCCAAATGCATACAGGGGGTGCTTGGCCAGGAGAAAAGAGGTACACTGATGGAAAACAACCACCAGCTGCAAGAGCCAGGCTGAAAAACTGTCATACTCTGTATAACACTGCACAGTGCAGTGTTTTAGCCCAAGTGAATTGAGCAGTAGCTGCAGTCCCAAAGTGTTCTATAAATATGGGGACTGTGACAATTAATCATTCAGCTATATTTCCAATTTAAAACAATTAAAATATGCATTTTATTTGAATAGTCTAGGGAATGTTGTTATGTTTTCCTTCAAGCTTACCCTGTTGTAATTTCTCATACAACTTCAAAGCAGGCAATACATCAGTGGTGAATTAATTTGGGTTGACTTAAATCGGCCCCTTTTGATGAGAAAGTTTGAAAAGAATAACGAAACAACATCATATAATTTCTCCACCATGTAAGCCTATGTTCTTAGTTACTATAAACCACAGCTCCACCAGCACGTAGAGTACAACTACGTTCAATGGCAAATCCAAAGTGGATTAAGGACTGGGTAGACCTAATAGGTTTAGATCCAGAAAACGTGCCACATTTAAATCATTAATGCTATCTTAGAGGTGGGAGTATGTCCGTCAACACAGGTATAACAGGATTAGGAAACATTTATTTATACAGACTTCATCTTTACTTTATCATGCAGTCATTACCAATTGTGATTAATACTGAATAACTTTTCAGTCCAAAATGTAATTTGAGAAACCATATTCCCCCATCAATTTATTAAATGTCTTTAAAGGTCTTCTTTTGTCAGTCCTAAAGATGTTTAATTGAATATGAAATAAAACAGTGATTTAAGGAAATCTCCATATTTGAGAGGCTGAAATATCAAAGATGGCTATTTTTTACTGACCATTAACTGATCAAGTAGTTGACATATCATTTAAGCTCATAATTCAACCATCTCAAGCTCTGACTGAGATGAACCTTGCTGCTATCTTTCCCTGCCTGTCCCTAGAGCTATTAACAATTATTATAATTGTATACATAAGACTTCCAAGGGTAATAAGTAAAATGTAGGTAAATTAAATTGTGTGTTTTGTTTGTTTGCTAGTATCACAATTAATGTTTGTTGAACTGTTGATAGTGATAAACTTGGAGTAATAAAAGGGAACATGCACTATAATGCTGTATGTTACTATGGCCTATGCTTTTGAGTAATTAATGTCATACGGACAATTGTCTACAAAAGCTTGATATCCATGTTATATTGTTTTATGTGATGTTATGCTTCCTGCTGCAGTAATTGCACATTCGGGACGGTTGACTTGACATTAACTGATGTTGTCATCTAGTGATAGCTTTTGTCTAAGGAGTCATGGAGCATTTGAGCTAATATATTACATTTTGTTGATATTTTCGAGACAACGTACATGAGTTATATTAAGTGCGTATTGTGTTGTTGAACAACTGTTACATGAGATAAAGGTAAAAAGTCTCCCTGTGTCGTAAAGTGTAAGAAACAAACCAAGTGTTCGCTAATTATATCGAACTATATCGAACTGCCTGTAGCCTTGGATGTTGTTAGCATTAGCAAGCTAAGCTACATAGCGTCAGTCGCCATGGTGACTGGGAAGACTGCAGCGGTTGGATGAGCAACGTAAACAGAAGCCTGCTGTCGTCCAACAACAGACAATAAAACACAACTATCTTTGTTGAATTTAGACTGTATCTTTAGTTACTTTCATTATGTGTGCGTTGAATATGTCTGTGATGGTCTCACCTTCCCACAAGCACCGTCTCCAACCACTACAATTTTAAGCTGCCTGTCCTGGCTGTCCTCCTCCGAGTCCGACATGACGCTGAAATGTTCTCCGACTTTATCAGCGTGCAAAACAAAAAAGGAAAACACTAGAAGAATAAAAACACCGTCGCAGGTTGTCTGGATGTTGTTATGACACTAGTGTAATCACAAATGGATTAAACGATTGTTGAGTGGGCAAGCAGCAGACGCCATTTTGACTCTACTAACACAACACTGCTCCACTCGGCATGATCCACTCACACACGCAGTGTGCTTCCTCCACTGATTTTTGGTTAATCGGAGGGTAACGGCAACCGAAAAACAAACCGGAGGCCACTCTCAGTTTGTAAATATTTACAGTATTGCCATGAAGCCTTTTGCTTTGACTGTAAACGATCAGAACCGGAAACCCAAATTCACCAGCGGCGTGGTTGAGTCCTGTGTGACGCGTTCCCGTTGCCGCGGTAACAAAGGTCAACGTGTGAATATGAAAACAGAAACACCTCAAAGCAGTTTTGCTTATTTATTAAGTAGGCTATTTTATTTTACGTTGGTTTGTTTGCTATTTGTGGGTCACTTAAATAGATTATACTGAGCAAAAGGTATTACACTATGTGACCCAAAATAAAGAATAAAAAAATCTGCCTAAAAAGTGTTTAAAGTAGGTAACCGTTTACACAGCAATAAAAATAGCTCAGCTACTCTAACTAGTTTATATGTTCTGCCTACGTTATCGCTTACTTAAATATGGGCTTCTTTTGACTCTGCTAGTTTTATTGACAACATGTAGTCAGGTTACTTATTTTCCAAGTTTAAACAAAAAAACATGATCAGTTTTTTAAATATGTTGATCTGTCCTACATGGCCAGTGATTATCAAGGTTGGCTCCCTCCGGGATAGCACTGTCACTGTCAAATTTCCCTTTTACTTAAGTATAAAACTACCTTTTGTTTTATTTTTCTTGCACTTAGGCTATGTATTTATTTCGTACTTTCTGCTGCTGCAACGCCTCCATTTTCTGTCTCATAAAAAAGATGGAGATATCCTTATATTTTTTTATATTGAATGAAATACTCTCTCTGCCTCTCTCTTAAAAAATAGACAGACAGACAGGCAGGCAGACAGGCAGGCAGACAGACGGTCACACTACACACACAAATACAAACACATACATGGTCTCATTGACTTTAGTAGTAATACAGTTTAATAAATATGATAATATATTAATATCTGAAAACCCATTTTGACATAGAAGATGTATAATGTGCTTCCAACATCAAAATGCTTTCACTGTCTTGACACAGACACACTCACATACACGTGCACTAGGCCTATATGTCATGTCAAAGTGAATCAAAAGTTGAATGGCTATGAAAACAGAGATCTAAAGTCTGAAGATCTCCATCACACACTGAAATCCACCTTTTGGGTTTTTACCTCTTAAATCATTATAGAGTCTGCAGTGTTCATCAACTATTATGAGGTTAAAGTTATTCCTAAAGCCTCTTAATCATAGATGGATGGACATATTTAATTTTTCCACAGCTAAATTCACAGCTCAGTCTCACCACAGTTTAGAAGAATATCTTACCAGCTGTGTAATGTGATGACACACTGATGTATTTACCAAATGATGTATGACTATTTTTGGCAAAATGTATAGTCTCAGACAAAATGCAAAGACAGAACATTTAAATAATTATTTTTGTGACATTTTTCTCTGGTGTAATGGTCAATTATGCTCAATTATTTCAAGACATAAACATGAACAAATTGTAGTTAAAGAATCACGTTTCAAGGCTGAATTAGTTTCTCCACGACCTATTGCCAACAGAAACTTTATTCTCCATTTTTGTGATCACAGTATATATATAGTTATTTTTTAGGTTTGGAGTCCAGAAGATACATTGCATTATATTAAGGAACAACAAGGATATACCTTTGTCATATATAAATGACTTGAAAATGCAGCCTGTTTGTATTTATAAAATGTTAAAACATGAGGCCAATGAGAGGATTTTCATTGTGATCCTTGATGCCCTTCTCTAACAGTCCTAACAAATGAGAATCTGTCCAAAAGGAGAGTTAAGACACAAGTATTCCCAAGAACAATATCTATATTCAAAATAATTTGGAGGATCTCCTGTATTTATATTTGTTTGTACGGAAAAAATTAAAAAGATTCCTGTGTTTTTAACTCTTTTTACTTCAAATGCCCTAAAGTCCACTACATGTTTAGTGTTAATATTGACTCCTCGCTCAGTTACTCGCTTTTACGTTATATGTTTTTGTAATATTCCCGTCCAAATGCTATAGCTGCAGTGTTTTACAGGCCAAAAGTTGAATCACTGTCCTCGTCTTTCACTCTCTTTGCTCTGCAGGGGAGGATGTCGCTGCAGCATGAGGGAAGCAGAGGAATTTGCACCTGGGCCATGAAGCAGGTGGCAGAGACTGGCAGGTCAGTGGCTCCAACATGAGGGTGTGATTGACAGCTAACTCTGAGCAGACACAAAGCTTTGAAGGGAAATTAAGCTTAATTTTTTTTTCAAAAAGGTTGTAGACAGAAACGACCAAGGCAATTTCGAGTGAGACAGCAGTTGGAAAAATCTGTCAATTGACTTCTTTTCATCTCATGGGTTTTGGATAGTCATTGTATCGCATTAATGGAGAAGGCTTTATTATATATTAAGCTAAATTGCTGCACGAAAATTCATGGAAGCTGTGAAAATAGCTTACAAAAATGCTATTTTCTGATCATTTTTATAGTTAAATTATAATATTTTAGATAGCCTTAAACGCCCAATGTTGTTTCAGTGAGCTTTTACAATGAAACAAGTTCTTCAGTTTTTATTTGTACTTGAAATATTAGTGAACAACATTGATTCAAATAAAGGCAATATAAGGATTAATGTAAATTAGGCCAAGGGCATTATTCAACGTAGGCATGGGCCAAAATAAACAACAAACAAAAGGGACCTGTGGCACGAATTTAAACATATTTTAGATATCTATTTTAATGTAGTAACTTTGCATATTTGTATTTGATTGGTAGTGTGTTACATATGATCAGGTTGAGGAAATTAGAACTCAGGTTATATGATATTAAGTTTCAGGGAGAGAAATATTCCTTTATTGATTCCTGCTACTAAAAATGAATATCTTAAAGCAAAATATCGGTTATTTATGTTTGAATTATTGCATTTGTTTAAGCCTTAGCCTACATATAAAAAAAAAATTCTTAGTGGGATCTGTCATTTGGTATTGCATTTTTGAACACGGGTGTTCTGATATCATAATAGACTACCATAATGATACATTTTAAAAAAGAGCTTGAAAAAAGGAAATTCAGAAATACTTAGAAAAGCGTTGAAGCAAATCAAACACAACCGTACATAATTAAGGATACGATATTTAAAGTTTTGTAAAAATTGAGTTGTTTTACAGTTTAATCTGGTGGTTAAAGGAGACATCAGTGCATTTTACAATCTGTGCTCGCTCCGCCGTAAAAAAAAAAAACACAAATGCAAACCATTATGTAAAAAAGAGGATCCGGGCGATAAACTGCAGCTGTTGCAAATGCCAGTTTTCTATAATCAATATCAACTGTGGAGAGTCTCTGCAGAAGAAAATAATTACTGCATCTCACAAGAGCATAGATCAGTTTAGGCCAGAAAGGATCAGCTTGTGTAAGTAATTTCCAGATGAATCGAAGAACAACGAAATCGTGTTTTACGGGGTGAACACGAATTATGTTGGGGAAATCATAATTTAACCAAGCAGAGTTGTCTTTTCGAAATCACAAAAATCAAAAAGTGATCCTCCAAAAAGAAAATACTCAAAATAATGTAGATTGTTGTTTACTGTTGAACAATAATAAAGACAAAATCAGCGACTTGTGCGTACACTTCCATGCATAAATCATTTACGTAAAAAGGTTGCAAAAAAAAATAAAAAATCTTCTGGGTTCCCCTATAATTTGATTTCCAGGTGGCGAAATACACCCTAAACAAATGGTTTACAATCACAGCCTGTAAGTAAGTAGACTATATTTCCCACGCACGTCACGTAAACAATGAAGGAAGGGAAAAAAAGTAACGGGGAATGCACACCTATGGGGGTGTTTGCATTTCAGCGATCGAAGGTTGTAAGGAAAAACAACCGCGAAATATCTCTCTATATCAGATATCTCCGCATGCAGGTAGATCTGATGTTAGGACATAGGCGCCTTTCGTGAGTAGGGATGTTCTATATAGGTTTAAAGAAGATGGGGCACTGATTAGCCAAAAACCACACCATAGAGGTTAACATATGCCCGGATGTTGGTGCCTAAAAGCGGATTGCCATTGCGCAGTTTTGTCAGGGGGGAAATACTTTCTCATGGTTGGTCCACAGGAATGGCCCTGTACTTTTATGCTCTTTTTATCATCGTATGCAAGGTGTTGTACAAATTGTGATTCATTTAATTTCTTCGTATTACTCACGTTTATCACAATACAGCCTCCCACAGACTGTGAGAGTGCCTGCACGAGTTGTACAGTAGATATTCTTTAATGGTAAAGATGGCTGGCTGATAAGGCATGCTCCACATTGACCCTGACTTAACATCCAAGCTATTAGTGGAGACACAATATAGCCTACTCCCGTAATATATTGCAGTATTAAGCCTTAAAGTATTTGCCAGCTGACAAAAAAATATTGTTTGCGATGTGCCAACTCTTCCTTCTTTGACTGAAATGTACGCGCTGTGACATGGGCCTCCTTAACCCCGGAATACTCCTCTCCTTGTGTTGACATGCAGCCCTAAAGGTAGCTGTCAGTTTGCCCTGTTTGGGAATCACACAGCTATTCATCATTGTTTGACAGGTGTGTTTGGGAAAAAGCCATAGTGGCTCAGAGGACACAAAGTCCCAACGGTGGGAACCTTCATATTGAAGTTTTGGTTTGGAGAAAAAGCTTTGGTAAAAATCCACACGTTTTACCCTAAAAATGCGCAGGATAAAGCTGATATGAAAAACATCGATAAACCAACGTATTTATATTTGCTGGATATTTGGCCAAAAACACACAAATATGTCCTGAACCAACGTCCTTAAGATATTATGACAATTAAATAAGTAATTGTAAGCAATTTCACTCTTATACTGAGGCTTTTTAGTCAGAAAAAAACATTGCGATTGTCTCGATTTTTACAATAAAGCCAGCCTTCTTGAAACTCAGGTTGTAGCAGAGATAGTATTTTCAGCACTGAGTAATGATAATTGCATTTTCTTTTTATCACCGAGTTGTCCAATTATAGTTTTAGTGTATCCAATGTTAGTTCGTAAAATCGGACAGAAAAAACGCGACTGTCCCAATATTACAATTAGTAATTTACGATCTTAAAATAAAATAAAATCCAGAATAAAAATAATGCCTGATATGTTTTTAATGTTTTTTTCGATCTTAACACAAATAACACATGTACAATTAGAACAATTAGAAGTCGGTCGGTTTTATGCTGCTTCCACGAGATCATTAATAGGCCTAACACAAGTGACCGCCCCCTCTCAGTCTGACACACACTGCAACGCATTTTACATTAAAGTAATGTATATAGCTCAAAAGTGCTGAAATATCTTACCTTTATAAACACAGCAAGAAAAAAAAAACACAATCTGTAACAGAGACAGTTCTATGAAAAGTCAATGGAATATGCCTATTTCCAATCACTGCAGAGGTAGGAAGGCGCATGTAAAATATAAACCAACATAAGGTGACATTTACAGTCTATCAGGCCGCTGGTTCCCACAGGGGGGTCCGTGGGGCTTCAGAGGTCCTTGTTAACATTTAAAAATCAGGTCCAAAGTCTTGTGATTTAAAGCCTAAATCGAAATGTCTTCTTCAGCGGGGTTCCTTGGAACAGACTCTTATTGAATTAAAGCCTGAGTCTTGTTTAAGTATTTGAGGATGTGATAAAGACGTTTGGGAACCCAGACCTGGTAAGCACCATGAGACCAAAAGTCTCCATCTGGTCTCATCCTCTTGTCAGAAAGAGAGTTTGTTTGATTTCCGGGGTCATAAAACATAAAAAGGAATAAATACAGTCACGTAGTTCACTGATTCCCCGCACATGCAGAGAGTGTCCATGCAGGGAGGCAGTAGGCGTATGGGTAATAGTAGGAGGGCTGCAGGGAGAGCAGCGGGGGCCGCAGGATCTCTCCCGGGCTGTACTGTCTCTGGTCATCCCGCACCAGGACCTTCACCGCCACCTTCTTGGCAGCCGGGGTCGACGCCATGAGATCGGCGGCCATCTGGCGCCGTTTCGTCTTGTACCGGCGGTTCTGGAACCAGATCTTGACCTGGGTCTCTGTGAGCTTCAGAGAGGCGGCCAGGTCAGCGCGTTCCGGCCCGGACAGATACCGCTGGTGGTTAAAGCGACGCTCCAGCTCGAAAACCTGCGCGTGAGAGAAGGCGGCCCTCGAGCGCTTCTTCCTCTGTTTGGGCTGATCCTGACTCTTCTCGTCCAGGGTGCTGGAGTCTGGGAGACACGCAGATGCAACATGATTCAAGATTCAAATGCTCATATGCACAGTATTTACAATGTAGTTAAACGTTTAAGTCCCAGTCTCCTTCAACAATGCAACATACATATATATATAAGACATCAAAATGAAACAATACAAAATAAAGCAAGAAGAACAGAAGAGAAATCAAATCAAATAGTGCCCGAGTGCGTCAGAAGTAAACTATATACATGTAAAATAGACTACAAGTGAATTCCAGGATTTGTTTTTGTTATTTTAATACAGCTGGAAGCACATGTGCTGATTTGAAATTAGATAGGTACGTGTTTTGGGTGAGACTGATTAAAAACATAAAGCAAGCAGATTCAAAGTATGCACACTTGTACGTTAGGGTGTTTCACTTTTCTGATTTTAAAATGTGTTGGAAATGATTTGCCATGAATTAATCAAATATACTTGGTGCTTTGGTTTTCAAATTGAAGTGGAAAATGTCGTATCAGAGTTGTTATTCAAGCATCAGTGTGTATAACATCATCATTGTTATTCTGCAAAAACGAGCAGTATTAAACTGCACTATTACAATTCAAATCAACATTTTCAAACGTGTCTGTTTACAACATAACTTTCCTCAAGTCTTTACAGTTGTTTTCAGAGTGCCACACTTTATTTTGTATCATTTGCATGGGATTCTTTCAGTCCAACTCACCCGTAGCATTGTTGGGCTCACTGTCACTCTTTGCGTTTTCCGCAGCTGCAGACTCTTGGTCCGTCTCTTCTTGCAAACTCTCCTGCGGCACATCAGACGCAGGGTCTCCGTCTTTCTCTGACTTGCACACGGCCGGAGTCTTGCTGTCGTTGTCATCGCTGAGTCCCGAGTCAGAGTCGTAGCTTTTCTGGTCCGCAGGCTCACAAGCCTCCCCATCATCTCTCCGAGATCCTCCGTTCATCTCCCCAAATATTTTCCAGCAAGCCGTCTTGGAGAAGCACATGTCCAAATCTGGCAAGTGTCGGCTGTCGTCCTTTTTGTTCAGGATGGCTTGGATGGAGAAAGGCATCAGCGAGTTTCCACGAACGGCCATTTTCAAAGAAGCGGAGTTCTCTCGGTTCTTCAAGTTTAAGTGTAATCAACCGGTTCAATAAATGTCAGTTCATCCACATTTTAGACTACTCCCTCCGTGGAGCACAGCTGTCGCTTAACTCTTTCCCTCCAGTGTTGGTTCCTGGTCACATCCCCGCGGTAAAAGCCGTGAAAAGTTTCTGCTACATCCGCAGGCACGATGCTGCTCCTCCGCATAGCTCTGCCATCAGCCCGGGCTGCCTCCAATCTCCGGCCCTTTTCACCCAGTTTTTTTTTACCAGCAACCCTCACCTGTGAGTGACAGGCACTCCTAGTGGCCTCCTATTGGCCAGGGTAGCATGAAAGTCGCTCTACGATTGGCCACTGTAAACTACGTCATGCTGCTTTCAACCGGGTGGGAAAAAGTTAAAGAAAAAGTTGGAGGCTGAACTGACAACCACACGAAGTATTTCACCTAAAAGTGTTTCCAAAACTTGAGAGCTTACTGTGTTTCTACATTTTGGCTTTTGACAATTAACAGTTTTGTTGAATTTGATCAATGATTTATGATTTGTTTTTGCCAAAGTGCAGCATTTTCTGGGTTGGTAATATTCAACATTTACGCAGTCAGAAAAGCAAAGACTCCGTGCGCTAAAGTCCGCGATCAAGAAGCTGAATATTAGCAGCAACACAAGTTCAAAAATAAACCAGGAAAGTCGTGTATTCCATTTCCGTGCAACACTTGAATGCAGCATGAGGACAATAAATCGTAGGACATGTCATATTTTTCCTTTTTTTTTTACTCAACCCCTCATCATCCTACCGGTCTGCCGAGAGTCCGGTGCGTAATGGCAATTATTTTTGTTGGAACATTTTGGGCACTGATCAATTTGTGTCAGGTTGTTACCGATTTCCTCTTTCTACGTTTGTATTAAACATTTAAAGTTATCGAAGTGCTAATTGTTGTCACTTCCTTGACAGCCTGCATCATGGATCGCCATGACCAGGTAGGCCTCAGCCTGTGCGCGGATCATCTTTTTTGCTGATTATAAATATTACATTTCCAAAAAAACAAAGATCAGTAGCTCGACCTTCTCTGTACGCTTGTATTTAACGTCTTATATATAAATGTAATAATTGAAATAGGCTAAATATTCGTTTTCAGCACCAGCCAGCTTTTGCTGCAGCACAGATTCATATTTGTGGACACAGGAAACCTTGAAACATCTGAAATAACTTAAATGATTTACAATCAGAATATTTGACTCTATAAAGACGTTGATATGTAGCATAATCACTTTTAAGATCCCATATTACGCAGCGTATTAATACTTGTTTGCTTAACTAATCCCCTGTTATATCTTTCAACGGCCGAATTGCCGAAGATGATTTGTATTAAATATTTGTACTTTTAATTAAATATAAAGAGTGGAAACAGCTCGGTCCTCGGATTTTAAGTGCCCCAACATCTGTCTCTGCGGATGCGGATCGTGACCTCTGCAGTTTTTTACGTCGTCCGTCTATAGAACAGATCTCACAGCTTTTCTACTGTTCTCAGTCACCAACCATCAACAATGTAAATACTTCTTCAGAATATATTTTGTTAAAAACATTTAATAAAATAATCGACTTGGCTAAACGGACTATGGGGCAATGTTATAAGTTGATATAGGGCGTCTATCATTTAATGTATTGATGGCTTCTATCTTAACCCGTATATAAATCAGTAAAGATGCTTTGAGGCTTTTTCATCTTGAAGGCTACACACTTTCATGATTTTAATTCCTTATAATGAATTGTTTCTCTGAACTTATTACATTTGTTTACTGTTGAAGATTGAATGGGCTACAACATAAGCATGAAGTGAATCACGCGGTCTGTAATAGGCTAATGAATGAAAGTGGGTTGATGACCTCGGTGCTGCACCGATCAAAGTATTGTTTAATAAAACGAAGGATTAAATAAAACATAATTTAAGAATTTGATCATAAGCCTCATTATAAATATAAAAGTCATAATTACAATAATAATCTCATCAATGTTATCTTGCTTGCTGCTAAAAACATTTAAACTATAGTAGCCTATAGAAAAACATGTTCAAATCGAGAACAATATCCTTTCAGTGTCAACAATGATGCTGTCAGCAGATCAGCTGTTGAAGACAACAAAACGGATTTGTTATTGTATTTTTGTTGTTTTGGCTTATTGTAAAATGCATCAGCCTTTTGAGTCGTTTTTTGGCACATGAAACGATTGCAAATTAAAACAAATTGCTTAACAGCTGAGACAAATTAATCTGATTTTTTACTTTTAAATGTCTAAATATGTGTCCTTATCCAATATGTCCCCTTAGGAATGACTCATGTGATGATTGATGGTTAAAGACCGTGTAAAGGCGGATTACATTAACCCTTGTTAAAATAAGAACACGTAAAAAATAAATAATGGAATTATTTATCTTCCTCATGTTAACTGATTCGTAATATTTACACTCCAAAGAAATCGTGCTATATAAAATAATACACTAATTAATATCTTTATTGTCCTTAATATTATGTGCATTATAAGAAAAATGAATACAAAATGGCTACACGTTTTAATAGTCATTCAATTAATCCGACCTCTGTGCTGCTCACCTTATGCAAACTCGTTGCATGCAAACATTATACCATCTAGTGGCCACTGGAAATACCTCTGCAGCTTGACTTTTTGACATCTTGTACTTTGAGGTCAAAACAGACAGAACTTCAGAATCTATGCAGATTATTATAAGATGTAAAGATATGTTTAAACAATGTACTAAGAGATGTGCTCTGTGAGAATGAATTGAATTAAATGATTTGGCATTGTCTCAGAGCTGAGTGACGGCCTGAATCACCGCAAGCAAAGAAAACAAGACTGGGAAAAGGGAAAAGCACAAACCACTGACACCATCTGGATATTTTCACACACCCTGCCTTTTAAAAACTACTCATTCCACCCAAGGCCAATACACAAGTGGTACATGACATAGTTTTAAAATTATCTCGTATTGTTCAAGTTGTTTTCTCTGCGCCCTTCATGCAGTTTTTCATTCTTTTGTCCTAACACCAGCCTCACTGACCCGTACACAGTGGGCTTTACTTTAAGAAAATATGGAAAATAAATACAACCGTCTGCCAATTCCCCAACAAAGTGAGTCTATGTGCGCCCATCAATGTTAAGTCGAGCAGAGCTCCACGGGTTACTCTGTGTTTTGGTAACCACACTGGGAGGAAGAGTAATAAGCAGTAAGTAGCTGTAAGTGGCAGGAAATGTAAACAGCAGCTTGCTTTTCATTCAGACAACTGCAGGGGCATTTACAACAGGTACACTGCGGGTGTGATGGGATTCACAATCACAGTGTAAGGTGTTCATATCAGAGAGTGACATGTAATCATTCACTTGAAAAAAATTCAGAAGCATAGGAAACTACGGCTATTTCCTGAGACCTTATTATTTCATTAAAACAAGGAATATTGAAGAAAATTAAATAGAAATGTAACAAACATAGTTTTACCTTAGGTCGACAGGTGCTCATTCCTTAGGGGATGGCAGTAATGAAGCCAATTCACGTATAATAGCTGTAAAAGTAGCTACAAAATACAGCTTTCTTTTAGAACAGTTGATCAAAATAGCACTTATAGCAACAAAAATAATTAAGTATTAGCAAGAAAATGTACTTATAGTATAAAAAATGCACAAATTATGCAAATAGGAGTGCTTACAGTTATTTATAAGCACCATTTTAATGTTTAAATTGGTCATGGTGAAGCTACATTTAAGTTGTTATGTTTAATCTTTAATGATCCTTATAGATTTTATACTGACAGTTTCTCAGGTATCAAAAGATGTAGTGCAGAGGTAAAGTAGCATATCATGGAATATTTAAAAAGTAATAAAAGTCAAGAAATAGAAACTCAAAACTAAAAGTACAGACTTATTCCACTAATGCTGCAGCTTTGTATTAATTGAAGTGTTTTAACATAAGCTGTTGCATCGTTACTATAATAATTATTCATACTTTATTAGTAGAAGTAGAGATAATAGCAGTAAAAGTAGTTTAGTAAAATATGAGCATTATTTCAACCGACAATAGGCTATACATTTGCAATAAAATATATAATACATTACATCAGACAAATATATGTATGGGCTGCAACTTATATTTCCATTATTGATTTATCTGTCAATTACTTTTGTTATAAATTCCTGTTTAGTTTTTTTAATTGATAAAATATAGAAGAAAGAAAGACCAATACATCATCATATGTTGGGGTCTTCAAATGTAAAACATTTTCAAAAACACAAAAAAAATTCTTTACAGGGGAAAAGCAGCAAAACCTGAAAATGGAAAAGCTGTAACCTGTGAATGTTTGTGTATTTCTGCTTCATAAATCACTTCAATGATGATCAATGTTAGACAATTCATTGGGACTATTTGATTAGTTGTATCAGATGGATTTCTGTGAACAAAAATATGAAAAATGAACATGAAAAATACACTTTGTATAAACCCCCCTTTGTGTGCCAACAGTCATCATTAGGCCTTGTCTCTGTTTTTGTACAGGAGGTCTCCCTCTGCTGGTGGGAAGCTGACTTGCTGTCATGGAAAGATGAGATGATCACTATAATCGCCTTGCCGGGAAAAGGTACATTTTCTCAGCTTTTTTCTATCTACAATGACACGATCCCCTTAATATCCCCAGACTGTTTGTCTGCTCCCCTCCAGTTTTACACCGGGGTGAAATTCCCACCACCTTTCCAGTAAGGAAATAAACTTTAATGGCATATTACACTATTACGTTTGCCCCTCCACCCACCAGCCATTTTCCTGCCTCTTCCTGTAACTTTAACCTGGTGTTTCAGACTGAAATCACGCCTGATGCAGCAACACGCCAGTTGCCTTGGTAACGTCTCTGTTTCCCCTCCTCTCTCCTGGGTGTGTTTATGACAGGTCTTTAATTTTTTTCTAGCGTGCTGGTATGAAAAAGGAGGCTCACAGCACGCCATACTTACCCCCCCCTGCTCCTTATGTGAGAATAGCTGCCAAATTGTGTTCAGATGGAGCAATACATAAGAGGGCACTGCCAAGAGTCATTTGCAGTAAACGCTCCCAAAATGCCCTCTAGATTTCTCACCAAATATCAGATCCACCCTGATAGCAGCCTTAATCATCCTCAACATTGGAAAGTGGAAGGAAAGGAAAGGGACGGGGGGGTTGCTGCCAGCTTGAAGTATGCTTTTAGACCCTAAATTACAATTGAACCCTCTTCCCCAAAGAAAAATTATCCTTGCATGCGATGGAGCACTAAATGGAAGAGCCCTTGGGACAGAACACTTAATACAGTAAATGGAAGCAAGAGACAAGCAGGGAGAAGTTCCTGCGTCTCTTGGAAGCTATTCAAAACATCCCAGCAATGGTTGCATTACTGCAGACACAGAAGTGGGGGGGAAAGCCCGCTGTTACACTCCAATTAATGTGTGTAGATAGTGCAGACGTGATTTATAGTTTATTTTTCGGCTCTGCTGTGCTGACAAACGAGCTTCCAGCCGCCTCTGGCACGCAACAGATAATGCGTGCAGCTCAAGCACATCATGAAAGGCTTCTGAGCTCCTGAAGAGGGTTTGGCTGCGGCTCAGGTCTCTGTGACCGGCTCCCTTTCTCCTGCACTCATGCCTTCATAAAGACGTCTTTCAAAGCAGCAAAGCCCTTTCAGGGGTTCTAATATCACATGTAAAATACCACTTTTCAACATGAGAGTTGATGTACTTATGAAAATGTCAAGCATCATTTGGAAATTCTTGAGATATTATGGGCCCTTTTTCTTTAAGTGGCTGACTGCAGCCGCATTTTGGATATTTTCAGAAAACAGATTTACCTCTCTGACAGGTGCAGTGGTTGGAGAGGTATTCAGATGTTTTAGCAGTAAAGTAGCAACACCGTTGTGCAGGAAATACTCTGCTACAAGTAGAAGTCCAGCATTCAAATCTAACTAAAGTAAAAACGCAATGATATTTGCATAAAATAGGCCTACTCGCAAAGCACCAAAAGTTGCAAACTCATTATGCAGAATGAGCCCTTCTACATTCATTTAAATTATATTATTGGATTATAATTTTATATGAATTAGGTTGCTCATCATCAATTTGATTTAAGTTTATGTGCAGCTCACATTAACCTTTTTATAAACTGCTAGCTTAACCTATACAAAATCCAAATGTCTTGATTTATATTCTGACATAATCTGAATGTGCAAAGTAACACAGTATACAGTGAATAAAAGGTATATTTACCACTTCTACTCCAAAATAAATTGGAGTTTATGAACTTCACACACTGCTGGTACTCTAATGACTCAATTTGACCCAAAATGTGGTCAGTAAACACATATCAGAAATAATCCTGCACTCTGGTGTGTTTGTTCCAGCCTCAGATGCCAGCAGTCGATCAAAATCTCGGCTCAACTGCAGCAATATTTCAATACTGCAAAAAAAAAAAAAATGGAGTAAAAAAACCTTTAAGACCCTAAACCACCACCCCTCCCTGCCGCCTGTCGCTGGCTATTTCTCTGACTCTCATATGAAACACTTCTGACGTTAAACACCTGTTAACTTTTATGTCTTGTGAGAGGAGTGGCTGAATGGGGGAGCATTATGTTCAGCGCTGGCCAAATCCCCAGTAGAGGAAAGACCCCTCCCCGTGCAGAGAGGCAGGATCCTGCGAGGTTCCCAGCAACAGTTACCTCGATTCCAGTTGACAGCTGCGTGAAACCACCGTCTCTCCGGCTCTCTGCAGCGGCCCGGCAGCAGACCTGCTTCAGAGGCAGAGTGAGGGGATGTGAGGGGGCTTATGTTGTTGGTGTCCTGTATCAAACTCACTTTCTCTTTCACATGTTAGATGCTGAAGTGAGGCCGGTGCCAGAATACACATGACCTGTACTTACCATCATGAAGAGCCTCTAACTGTACTGTCATTTTCAGGTACTTGAACTTTACTTACACATAATACTTCATACTTCTACTCCACTACAGTTTCGAGGCAGATATCATACTTTTAACTCCCCTAAATGTATCAGATTATTCAAAGAAAATATAATTAACAAATCATTAAATATTATGATAGATGAAACTACCATCATTATAAAAAGTATTAACCCCACTTTAGCTGCAACAAATGTGATTCATTTGATTGAAAATTAGATAACGCTCAGAGCATTGGCATAAAAACACATCTCTGCTGGAGAGTGCTGTGAAAAGTTGATCCCAATATGAATGGCTGCAACCAATGAACATTTGCATTATCAATTCATTCGTTGAGTGTTCCCTCATTTGTTTAGGTGTCAATGAAATGCAAAAAAGATGGGAAAAGGTATCACGAGAGCAAATGAGCAAATCCTCAAGAAACTAGCCAACAGGAAACGTTTATAATTTTCACAACAAAAATAGTTGACTTATTGTTTAATTCATTGTCTGTAGCACTGATGGATGCTGGTCTTGTGAGATATGTTGCATTATTTGATAAATACATTTCTATTGTAGATTATTCTGTTAAATCTGAGTTAATATTGTTTTTGAATGAAAACTTTAGCTGAATTATCTAGTTAATCTATAGATTACATTATTGACTGATGGACTGTCCGTATAAGGGGACTAGGAGCAACCTAATGATAAAGGGTAGATAGACAGAGAAGTTGAAAAGTGTGTTATTGTTTGTGATTGAGAGCCGCCACTTCTTTCTCTACAGAATGTGTAGGTAAAGTACATTCAAAGCAACCTTAAAATCAGGTCAACACGTGTCCAGATTTGTGCTTCAGCAGCAGTTTTAAAGATATATGTTGGATATTAAACTTGTGTTGCTGCTTTCTCTAACTTTCTAGATTCTTGCTGTGAGGTCCCCGCTGAGCTGAAACCTCATACATAAAACATGCTGCCAATAAATCGCTCTAATGTGCCTCAAACTGCTGATACTCAGCACTAGAAACCTGCTTGGCAAATGCAGAAAATCATTTTTGGACTACAATGCAAACGACATATAATAAAATGACGTCTTAAGTGGCTCCAATTGGCATCGGTGAGTGAAAGGAGCGCTGTTTGTGTGCCAGGCCTGGTGGCTAAATGAAACGAGAGTTAATATTTTAAGGCTTGGATTGCAGCACCAGGAAATACCTGGGAGAGGTACACCTTTCAGGAATCAGATTTAGCAAATCCACAGGAATGGTTGGAAAACTTTACCCGAGAAGTCTCTTTCCGTAACATCTCTCCGGGCTTTCTGGATCCTGTAAGTTCAGGTGCGATTAAAGCCTCCTAACGTGTTAATGATGGTGGAATATTTCATCCTGAGTTTGTCAGTTTTATCCCCCATTAGCAGCCAGGAATGTGCTCTCCTCTTCTCCGCTAAGAGGCGATTGGTTTCTGTCTTCGGCTATTTACACATTTACAGACAGCACATCCATTTAGGAAACACAGGCGATAACGCTCGAGACATAACAAGGGGGTATAAATAAAAAATGTGCAATGTTTTATCTTTTCATAAACAAATGCTTTAGATTGTCAGACGCTAATCTTTGAAAAACAGAAGCAACGCAGTTTAGGGATTACTGTAGAGGTTGTTTTGGAAAAGTGGAAATCTATGAGCTCTGTAATTTAAGCATATTCCAGAAATAAACATGTTTTAATGTTTTAACAACCACATCCATGAATTAACCACAGAAGTGTAAAAAGGAAAACCTTACTTTAAAATAGGTATGTATATTTATAATTACTTACCACAGATAGCTTGAAACAGTGAAAAAAGGAACGGAAGCAATATTAGGTATTTTTACATTTATAAAAAAATGTCTTTACATTGACAGGTAGGCAACATCTAACACCATTATATTGATATACAGTTAACAAAATACACAAAACTAGATCACATGAGTTTGACACCAACAAACTGTTCTTTGTTACACTTGTGTCATGAAGTAGATTCAGTTCATAAAGTCACTGTTCGAGGTTTTTCCTGTCTGATGCTAATACTGGCGTTATTTAAAAACAAACTAATACGTGTCCCTTACCGTGTGAAAAGTATACAAAAATACATCTTAAAAAAGACTGGGAGGGAAAACCTCTCCTTTCATTCACAGAATGAATATTGAAAAACTCCCAATGACTGCTAAGACGCTTCACAATGATTTCTATGTAAGTGTTTGAATTTACACAAAGTCCCAGCAGGAACGGAGATTTGAACCTCTTTACCTGAAGGTAGGACTGGGCTGCTGTTAGGCCTGAGATTGGGCTGGAACACTCTGACTCGCTGGGCATTACTGAATAAACGGTGGGATGATGAAGTCTGATGCAAACCATATGGGCGTAGTGCGGTAGAAGGTATTCTGGGGGGATTCCCGCACAGATCCTCAGGTTTACACACAACCATCAGATTAATACTATCCAGAGCTTTTCAATATCTGCAGTCAGTGAAGCAGAAACGTCTCGACATGCTAACGGACTGCAGAGACCCTCTGACCCCCCGGCAACAGAACGGACTTTAATAATATGGAGTGCAGCGAAAACGCCGCCGGGGCAAACAGAAAGTCTGAGGCTTTAGCGTTTGGCTCTCTTGGACGGGGGCTCCTCTGATTTCTGTCCTCCCCGCGTTCGCACAGCAGGGGGGCTGGCCTCCCGTTTGCGGCCCCCCTTCACTGCTGCTGCTGCTGCCTGGCCCCTCGTCCCGCTGCAGGAGGGAAACAAGCAACAAGTGTCAGGCCGTTTGTCTAAAGACTCATATGTAGGCCCTGGGAGATGTGTCTCAGTGCACTTGTTTGCAGTGAAGGAATACTTGTTATTGCAACTCTTTTCACGAACAACTCTAGACGGGGCCGGACTTGGTGGGTCCACATTCACTTAAATAGAGAAAATGTGCATGAGACAGATTTCTAAAAGACCCATTTAGACTTTAATTTAGTCTGAGGTCAAAGACAGAATAAGGAACATTTCTGACTAAATCTTCATGGGAAAAAACAATGGGTGGAATTGGAAGAAAGATGTTCTCAGGGATGTAATTAAAACAAATAATAATACTGTAGTAATGTGAATTAATCATCTCATTTCTTACCTTATATAAAGCAACTGATAGTTTATCTTTGTTAAAGAAACAGGGATATTGTTTTTATAAAACTTAAAAAAATAGATCAAATGTTTAAGTGAGAGGAATTAGGCATTGTGTGTATTATAGTCGTTACACAATTATAAGTCTATATTCAGTGTATAAAAAGTAAAATGGAAAAAGTGAGACTACTTATTGAGTTTTCAATCATTTAACATGACTTACATGTATTAAAAAGCATATTAAGTACACAAGCCTCTCACCTGAAATACTGGATTAATAAATGAAAAATACTGTTTATTTGATCAAATTATTAAAAACGTTACAAGTTCTTTTGATCCTATAGCTTACCTGCAATGCCCAATGTTTGATACACAACAGAGGCCATTCAAAAGTATGTCTTATTTGGGGAGGTATTAACTTAAAAGCTATTTAGAATTTCCGGGAAAGCTTTAGCTCTAATGTTGTCTTTCTCAGCGGCGACCTCATAGCGCTCAGTTTTGGTCGGATCCCTCAGAGGAACTCACCGTGTGCCAGCTGCGCTCTCCTCTTGGCCGTTCTGCCGGTTCGCCCGGGTGGATGGTTTACTCGGCTTGTTCCTGAGGAGCAATAAAAACAAATATGAAACATAGTGCTAAATCTCCCCCCCCCCCCTCACGCTTTCATTGAACAGGATGTGACAGTGATGATGCCTGCTGGGTGTTTCAGAGAGTAAACATTCAGCGCTAAAACAAGCCTTTCATCTCCACAGAGAGTCTCATCACTGCGACCGCACGATATCAAAGATGGGTTATTAAATGGATTTAACAGCATGTGTTTTGTGACGAGCGATTTTTAAAAGAGTTAATTGGTCTCATTCAATTCTAATGACTTGCTTTTACTGCAATTACCAAATAAGGATGTTACAGTACAGTTTGAATGACGTGGTACGTATGTTGTTGTTATTGTGGTGCGTTTGTGTCCATGTTCAATTACTTCTCGGCCTCCAGGCGAGCTGCAGATCGCGTCGTTGCTCTCCTTGCGTTTCTTTTGTCTCCGTCTTCTTTATCCCCTTCATCGTCCTCCTCCTCATCATCATCATTCTGCTCGCTCTCGTCTGCCTTTCCTTCCTTTTTATCTGTGGGTTAGGATGACAATAGATTCTAAATGATGTATTTTATTGCCAAGTCAACAGATTGTAGGAACTCATCCATAACATTAAGACAAGAAACACCTATGTACTTGCTAGTGTAAAGCTTAGAATGATAATGAGTATTAATAAGAACAAAGTAACAATCATTTGACTTTGTTTTTGTTAGATAGAGCTTTTAATCTCCTCACCTGGATCCTCGGGGGCTGCCGCTGACTTTGACGGCCGTCCCCTCCGACCGGTTCTCTTTGGAGTCGCCTCCTGGTCCTCCTCTTCAACCTGGAGAAAAAACAACAAATATTAAAGTCCTGACGTCTGATCAGAGTTTGGAAAAGATTGGGGGAATGAGATATGAGCAGTGCAGAGTCAAAAGGTAAGAAGTTCCACGCTTTTTAAGTTCTTACACAGACAAGTTCTGCGACAGTGAATGATGCACATACAGTGGTAACAACATACAGGTGAATATTTAAAGGCCTGAGCGGACAACATACATCGTCTGGTTTCTTCTCGCTGGAGATCTCCTCTTCACTCTCTGCCTGGCTCGCTGCAGGGGACAAAACTGGAAGAAGATACATGTAGAAAACAACAACTTTAATGATCAAAGTAACTCATTTTCATTCTAAAAGGAGGGCTTTTTTTTTATAATGCACATTTCAGCAACAAGGCAATTCAACATGAGGTGCTAAGAAAACACTGCACAAAAGGACATTCATATTCAGTTTAATAAATGAAATAAATATCCAGGCTAGGGCTGCTCGATTATGGCAAAAATCATAATCTCGATTATTTGGGTCAATAACTGATATCACGATTATTAAAAACGATTATCCATTTACTCTGAAAACATCAATTTATTGAAAAAAAATGTGAGCAGTATGTTTTTAACAGTTGATTACCCTGAACTTTAAGTATAATTCAACTGAAAAACCAATTTTAAAAAATGGTTTTATTTAGATTATGTTTTCAAAACATTTTAAAAAATCAAGTAAAAAAGGGAACTACTGTATATACACATATAAGTAATAGTAAATAAATAGATCTCCCTACCCATAAAGCATTACATAATCCATTACTTGCAGCATTCAATGGATGTAAAAAGGGGTGATACTTTTTCAGCAACTTCTCTTATTCATCATCACTTATGTCACAATCGTTCTTGGCAGGGCACTGGGAAGGTGTCAACTAAATAAACCCTGGAACTGATATTTCACGTGGATTTCTACCAACTTGTATTCTTGTTTGAGGTGACTAACTCTTCATCTATGAATCATTAACATCCAAATATGTGTTAAAGCAAACAGAAAAACGCTGTACACCCCCCACCTACTTTTCTCAATGCAGCCCTAACCCAAGTGTTTTCTCTTCTTCAGATAGTGCCCTCTGACAATGGTCAAACTTACTTCCTGCCCTCGGAGAACCAATGAAAGCTGCCGGCGTCAGCACAATAACCAGCACTGCAGTGTTTAATATATTACAGGGCTGGACAGAGAGAGCAGGAGCTTTCAGGCAAACTCCTGTCACTCAGTTTCTAAAGCACTAGTAAGGTTTCTCTGAAAGGCCTCGCAGTTTTAAAAAATATCAATGCCTACATTCAAGGTAGATTTACATGGATAGAAAGGGTGAAAAACTGAGGGATCTGAGTCCAACGTCTCCATCTCTTTCTCTCAGGGCATTTCTCAGACTTCACACCAGGGCTCCACATTCCCCTTGTCGACACAAAGCAAAAGGATGCGTCTGTTAGTGTGTTTGGTCGCCTTCAAAGGACACTCTATCTGTCTAATGTGGTAAAGTGTCTACGGCTGGCAGTATACTCCAAATGAAATCACATTTGGGGCTTTTTATGTCGCTGCCAAAGACGGCGCAGCTGGCAAGTGCTTGTTTACTCACTGTGACTGCAGATGTGAGTTTTAAAGCCACGTACATTATACATGTTGGCCTTTCTGTCACATTAAGAGGGCCTTTTTGCACCAGTGTATCTAATAAACATCTCAAACGTGTTTATGTGGATATAGAAAAGGATATTTTTAAGATGAATGCCATATTGTCACATTACATAATTACCGTAATTTTTCGGACTATAAGGCGCACCTGAATATAAGCCGCAGCAGCTAAATTGAATGATGTGTACATATATAAGCCGCACTGGACTATAAGCCGCAGGTGTTTTAATGTTTAATTACCATATGTAAGGGTTCGTGCACAGAGGGGATTGTCGGGAAAGAGATGGCTGTTTGAGGAAGCTCCCATTTATTAACATTTCAACAAACAAGTTGCATATTTGCATAACGTATTCAAGTGTTACCATTTAGTGCAATAGTAGCTACAGAACATGTACTGTGCTGTGTAAACTGTACTGTATCACATAGCGTTTCAGACACACAAACTTTTCAACTTTCAAACTTAAACGGTGCGCTCCCAGCGCACGTACCGGCAGTGATCTACAGCAGTGGTTTTCAACCAGTGGTACGGGGACAAACTGTCTCGCTCTCGTAATGTCTGTCTGTCTTGCTCTCGTTCTGTCTCTCGTACCACTCTCGGTTCCACTTTTACTTTTGCGCGCTACCTGTCTCACTCTTTTCCGCCTCCAGCTTTTCCTGCTGGAGCCCGCCGCTTAAAGGTGGGGGTCCGCGGACCGGCCATAGAGCCCATAGAGTTAAAGGTGGTGGACTGTAACCTGTAAAATCCATAGANATTATGGCAAAAATCATAATCTCGATTATTTGGGTCAATCATCGATATCACGATTATTAAAAACGATTATCCATTTACTTTGAAAACATCAATTTACTGAAAAACCAATAAAAAAAATATCGTTTTATTTCGATTATGTTGTTTTCATAATCAAAATTGCGATTAAAATACGATTAATTGAGCAGCCCTAATTCAGGCCTTGTGTTTTTTTAGATACAGTATGCAAGGACCTTTGCTAAAATGACAGACTAATGATTTATCTTGGATGTGCGTGCTTTCTCACCACTGCCTTCTTCAGGTTGTTCACTTGGTTCCTGTTGACTGGAGTCGTTCTTCTCCTCCTCTTCAGCCTGAGTTTCCTGTAAAAGGATCATTCAAATACACATTTAGACACATACAAAGTTAAAGGTAGGGTAGGGAAGAATGGAGAAACCAGCTTGAGTACGCTAGAATTTGAAAATACACAGCCGAAAAAAATCTGCCCCTTCCTTCAGACTTCCTCACAGAGCCCCTCCTCCAACACACACCAACGCGCACATGACCAAAGAGGGCACGAGATAAGTTTGTGCACAGATGGAAGGCTGACAGGCAGGTAGGCCATCCAGTTATTTTAGCCGGCTAAAATGATTGGTCGTGCTTTTTACAGCGCCACGGCTTCCACAGATGACATTTTTGTATGTATTTATTGTCAAAGCATTTCATGTATCCATTGCTATCGGGATGTTAAGAGCATTCCATGGAATATAACAAAAAGTGTTTCTGAAGTGAATTACCTATCCCACCTTTAAGTAAATACAGAACTAGATGGAGGAATTGCAGACCAGGAGACAGCGAAGGTTTTAATCCACAAATACGTCAAAACTCACCTCCACAGATTCCTCCGTATCCTCGGACCTCTTCCTCTTCACCGCTGGTTTACCTGGGATGGAAAGATGATGAAATATTTATCCTATCATCTCTCTCACATACAGGGAACACCCTGAAAATATTTTGTTTTGTTTAACTCATAGCAACGCAGCCAGCCTTCCCCCACGTCTACTACCAATGCCAACATACTCAATCAAACTATTTGACAGGCTTTTAGCGGTGATGACAGCAAAATGAAACGTGGTTTACTTTCAACATCATGCTATGAAATGTTCCAGTTAGCTATTGAGGTTTGGCTCACTTATTCTTTTAGCTTGCATGTAGCCACACCTCGCCAGAAAGTCATTCACCATTCATAGCAGGCAGAGTGGTGTCAGTCATTTAAAGAAAAGGGACAACAAAACACAAAAAAGACTTGAACGTACGTGTGGCGTCTTTGGAGTCGGAGCTTCCTGCAGCGGCAGATTCTTCTGGAACAGTCGACGGCAGAGCGACTTGACTTCCTCGCCGTGTTAATTTCCTCGGTCCACTTTCTTCTGCTGTTGCCTGCAGATTTGAAAAGATATTGTGAAAAACAAGATGAAAATTCAGATACCGTGAAATATTGCTTATTTTGTTGGTGGGCTCAATCATCAGAAATGAAAAAAGTGTTCTAAAAAGTAGAATTTTTCAAACATCAGGTTTTGTTGCCTTATTTGAATCCATTTATATACAAAGGCATTCTCTTAACTTTTATTTTATTGATCAATTTATATTGTGGAATTGTATTTTTCCCTAAATGTAGCTCCTTTTGTTCAATGTTTAGACTGTGTACAAAAATTAATTGGCTGTCTACCAGTTGTCCTTCCTGCAGCGGTCAGACTATACAAACAGCACAGCCGCTAGTTGATTATATTATATCATAACTTAGTACTTTTTTTTTAAATGCATGTCACATATTTAACATATGTAACATTAAGCTGTCTGTGGCTCTTTTTCCTGCTGTAACCACGCACATTGCCCCTCCGTGGGACTAATAAAGGTATTCTGATTCTGATGTCTTGTAAAGCACTTAGTAACTTAGTTTTGAAAGTGGAAAAGACAAAGTTCATTATTATTATTATCATTATAATTATTATTAATGTACATGTTGCATTTCTGTTAATGTACCTCTTCTGTCTCGGTGCTCTTCTCGTCTTTGTTCTCCTCATTCTTCTGATTATCTGAGGTTGGAAAAAGAACACAAAAGAAAACTCAAATTAATCAATATTTTCAACACTTTTTAGCTGCACTAGCTTAGAGAAGGACATACAACTGAACCCTTTATAGTATTTTTATTATAGCTTATTTGGTACCACTTTACAATAAGACTACCCTTATAAAGGGTTTACGAATAGTTTGCAATTCATTTATTAATATTAAGTTGTGAACACTTTATAAATCATTAATAAGCTTTTATAAGACATGAGATAACCAGGGCAACTGTGACCGGTTGCTTGCCAAATAGTGAGCCCACTGTTGGAGCTATATACAGGACTCTTTATATTATTTAATAGTTTAACATTTATTTTCTTGCTGTTTATTATTATTTATCATTTATTTATATGTATTCTTAGTTAGCTTCATAAGTTAAAGTAGTTTCTATGCTTTTATTTTGAAGGCATGTTTTGGGCACTGGGTGATTAGAGCACCTGGTGTAATTGTATATATTGGAGACAGGTGGTGGTGGGAGCCAGAGCACTAGTAGGCAAAACGGTTTTTTTATCAGGGTGTGTCAAGCCACACACCCGAACACCAAACACCGATGTTCAGGAGGGGTTCGGGGCCGCCCACGACGCCCAAGGTAGTGCGTGTCGTCTCGTCTCCTCAATACCGCAAAGACGTGCCTGACGAAAAAGAACCGAATTAAACATAGCTGAACTAACACCCGGTCCGAAAGCCAACATAAAGGTACACTATAATCTGGTGAACATAACACTTAGATAAATCGGCACGTGAATGCCTCGCCCTAAATCGTTTTAATTTCGCTAGTTTCACGCCCAAAAAGGGAGACACCATAAACGCGTACGAAATACTCCGAATACTGAACCGCTAGTACTTACCTCACACACACAACAGTAAACAACGATAGAATACCGGATTTTAGGGAAACATTATAAGTAAGGAGACATAAGATGAATTTCAGACTACAGTACTGGTGAAATCTCTACAAACACAGGAAACACCACGAAACAGAGAAACACCGGAGAAAAAGTATTTCTACCGAACAAGACAAGACACGTACGCCATCAAACGAAGCGTCACCAAATTGAAATGGTTGAACCCTTGGCAATGAAAGAGATATGGGCTGTCCGGTCTCTCCTTGGCATACTAGAATCGTAATTGTAGCTACGTTGCGGTCGCACTAATACAAAGTGTGTTTGAATTACCGCTAATCAGACTTGACACATTCAACGGATAATTGCATGTTGTCAACTTAACGTGCCGGACTACTTTCCCATACACAAAACAGGAATTCATGTCGACATCAAGAAAGACCACAGTAACGTCGACAAACCAAAGAAGGACGCGAGTACGAACAATCCCCTGTAAAAAACAATTCGGGCGACTGAGAAAAACCCGTAGACCAAGATAAGGAAATCCAGAAAGCATAGCCTGCGATCAATATTATATTAATAGTAAATTAATTTTGTTCATAAGTTCTACAAGTTTACGATTACTCCCTTTTATTAATTTATAGATAGCTTACTATTCCCGCGGAGCGAGGAATACTAGATGGAGAAAGTCGCTCGCCGATCCTGTCTGTCCGGGGGTCATCCGAGCGGAAGCGAAAATTTATCCCAATGATGCATGGGGCAATGTCCGACCTAAATCCAGATCATTACCAATTCAAGCATCGGTAAAAATTGCGAGGGGTACCAAAGCCAAGGAAAAACTGAACACCCAAGTACAGAGAAGTGTGAATATCTTAAAACAAACGTCGTCTTTCCGTTTGTAACTTAAACAAAAACAAATTAAAATTAACTGCAAGGAGTGGCGATATACTCCGATGTGCCACAATGTCAATGGAAATGGACCTCCTTCATAAACAAAACACTTAGAAATACAGTTACACGACCTCCTTGTGACCCCTACTACTATGTTTTTGGACTCAAACAGCAAGTACGTTTCGACGAAGTCACACTGACGTCTCCGACTGTCCGCTGGGAACAAAAGTCACTCGAGGCGAGTCAAAGCACTACAAACGTGTCAAAAAATTATTTTCTCAAAATAACCTACTGACACTCGCTGCAGTGCTACGAGCGACAGAGGGCTCCGACGGAGAAGCAATTAACTTTCTTCACTGGTACGACGTTTTGCCGTAAAAAGTCAAGTTGCGACCTTTGGCCGAGACTAGCCTGTCTAAAATATAGCATGCGCGGCTCAATACTACGTTAAGACCCCGACGTTCGCCTAATCAAGCCCGTCCCTTACTTAAAATTTCCGGTAAAGTTCTACTGACAAATTATAAGACAAAACAGTGCTAGATTTCTTCTGGTTGAATACAAACTTGCTTACATATGAACAGACACTTAGCAACCTATAAATAAAATTACATAGACACTTTAAATCAGGCCCCTTACTAAATTAGAAGCAACCATTTACGAGGTTTTTATTCACAATACTGATCAACCACATTCGCTGTTTATGGGGAGACTGTGGGGAGTGAGAGATGACTATAATTTGGTGCGGGGGGGGGAAGTGTGAGCTCGACGTGTTTGGTTACAGGCACTTATTCTAGAGACAAAGTCTACCAAAATAGATAGTTCCACAGCGTAGTGCTGGTTTCTACGGATCCAGAGCACTAGTACACGGATTCTTGGCGACGTCGACTCCTACCACGCGTCTATCGTCCATCGATGAGATTGATTCAGACACTTTCCTGCGCCTCTATTGAGCGCGAGCGAGACGCTCGAGACGCCACGCGCCTCACGCGTACCAGAGACGAAGTCTACCGACTCGCGTATATCTTCTTGCCGCTAGAGAGTGAGAGGCAGACCGATATCAATTTTACAGTATGTATAACACGAATACTTATCTAACCAGAACTATATCGCAACCACATAACAGAGTGAAACCTCTTCTGTTGACAAGAGACAAGGAATACTAAGTAAATACACTGGTCGATAGAGCATAACGTCTCGGTAATCTACAGTCCAATCGGGTATCTTACATAAGTTCAAATCAAGAGAGAGTTCACTATAGTCCTAGACCTGTATTAACTTAGTAACATAATATCACAACAAAATTATCTACCATTAACGCCTCCTTGAGACAACGCTCCAACAAATTAAAAAGCTTATTATACGACGTCACGCAGTCCCCCGGGATGTACACACTAGTCACTTCAAGGAGGGACGAGTCTATACATTTCCTGAAAGATTCTAGCATTGCCGAAACACCTTTTGATTTTATATCCCAGACAAGGAAGTACATCCAATCGAGGTAGCGCTAGAAAAAACAAATCACAATTACCCTTCCCGCGCGCTCAGATAATACTGAAGCATAGTACAACAGCGGTTAGTGATCAGTTGCGTGTTCAGCGATTATTAACCCGGTCTCTACCGAACCTTCGCGCGAGAGTATCTGTCGCGTGCGTCTTTGACCTTAGTCTTTTAGTGCTTCTTCTGCGTACTCGTTTTGATTTCCCTTGCGCTTCTCTGTCTGTCCTGCATTTTGATTTCCCTCCGTTCTGCGAGCATCATAACGCTGTCCTGCATCGATGGCACATATAGATCCTCGTTTAGTCGACACATGCGTTCCATCCTTGCCGCGGTGTGGCTCCATTTTCCCCGCTTGTCGCTTCTTCTTCGTCCTATTTGTGATTTCGTCGTCTTCTTCTGTCGTCCTCTTTTTGATTCCCCCTACTTCTGCAACATCCTTCATTGTTGATCTCCTGTTATTTCCTCTGCGTCTGCACCCTCGGACTCTTAGACGTTATGCTTGCAGCAGCGCCCCGTCCGTCTTTGGCCGAGCGCGATTACATTGTCCGTGATTATATGCCCTGCGTCCGTCCGTATGCACGTCCTGACTCATATTGCAACTTCCCGTTATCGGTCCTTGCGCGCGCCTCGGTTAAGAAGTTCCCTTGGTCGTCTGGCGTGCGGCCGTCCTCCTAGGGTGATATTTCCCTTGCTCCTTTCTTCCGCCTGTCCTTCATTTCCGACACTTGTGCAAATTAACCGTGAGACAGCACTATTCTGACATTTTTTTACCCTTGAACCTGGTCAAGCTTTGGAACTAGCACACGGCATAAAATAAACAACGACAGTGGTGTTGATTAAGATGCAACATATATTATCATGCATACTTTAGCTGAATAAAGATAGAAATGGGAGAACTGCACAAGCCTCATTAGACTGGCTAAATGATAAAGGAAGTTAGTATAAAATCAAATAAGGTAAGCTAACGTACACTTCCGAAATACATAGGAAAGTTCATCGAAACGTTGTATATTTACCACTAGTGGTGAAAGTACGAAAACCATATACAAGATCAGTTGAAACATTGCGGTACCACAAGGGCCTCAGTTTCCTATGCGTATTTCTTATATAACATAAAACCTATTAGTAAGCAAAATTTCGGAGCGTTAGCTAGATCTGCGCGTTAGCTTCGCGTGAAAAGATTAAAATAGCTGTGTTATGATTGGTAGAGTGCCTGTACGGTGAAACTGCCGCTTTGTTGTAGTCAGTGCGCGGTAGGAGACGGCGTGCCAGGGAGCAGGGAACCTTCTCGCCTCTCCACCCCACAAAAAGTAGACGACCACTGCCCTCCTTATATGTCGTCCTCGGGTTTGCGAACGGAGACGCCTCCCGCTTTCTTCGCGTCGCCTCTTATTTGTCCTTCCCGGTTGGTACCAACGCGCTTCAGAAGACGCGGGGCCGAAAACACGTCGCTGTGTCGGCCGGTGGTGTCGCGGCCGTATCATATGTCGGAGAGAAATACTGGTAAATAAATACTCAATAATTCGTAAACCTATTGACGTTTTCGGAATAACGATTCACAACTTGTGTAAGTGGTAAAAATACTCGAATGAATGGTAAAGAATCGTCTGTCGTATTTATACCCACACGCCGGTTAGTATATCTTTATTGCTATTAATTGAATTTTATTATGTCGCGAAACTCCGTGATCAATCGCCTAGAATGCGTCCGTTACTAGGTCCAGGTCTGTTCTAAGAGGCAACACCGCAAACGCATAAGATTTGTTTATGTTACTCGTCCAAAGGTGATCATGATAGAAAGGAAATTCGGAAAGGATA